ATATCAATAAAGCTGTAGAAATCACGAAGATAACATTCTCAGGAAGCCAGCCATGGTGAGTCTCGGAGGGTGGAATAATGCCTGAAACGTCGAAAGAAAATTTCACCGTGAGTACCACTATCAAATGGGAGCGACTTCATAGCCCTCGGGACAGAAGATTAAGTCCTAACGCAGAACATGAAAAATCAAATGCGAAAAGTGGTTGTTTCGGGATGTTGTTTCAATCGAGGCATGGTATACACTCGAATTGCTTGAGAATAGTTGAGTCACCCGATTTCTGAGTAGAGCAACAACTAGAAAGCTTTGTGTTCACAATGTCGGATGCCATCTAAACAGCTAAGCCAGATTGAAGAGTAATTGTCGAGTAAAAGCGATATCCTGCCACATAGCCCTCCTCGATCAGCAAAAACGTTCGACTACCACCTCTATGTTTGGCACAGATCAAACAGACTGTGTAGCGTGGTTTAATCTTTCGAAGAATGTGAGTTTTTAGAACGGCTAGATCCCTGTTGAACGACATGTTCCCTAAGTATATGATAGCTACAAACATCCCATATGCCCCGTGTAGACCGGCAAAAGCAAGATAATTCGGGGTTGGGGGCTTTCAGGATTCTCTCTGAATCCGTCCATTTTTCAGCTCGCAGCGGATCTTACCTCAAAGTACTTTTTGGACGGACCACTGTGAGCGAATCTGCCCTTTGGCGACAACTCTCTTATAGGGAAAATAGCGATTTTGTTCAGAAGTACGAGTTGGTTCCGGAATTCCTTTATCACATATTCCTTCCACCTTCCTCTCCTTCAACCCTCCGTTCTTTCGCCATTTGCATGGCAATAGAAAATTTACATCAAGGAGCTAACTAGCTAGTATGACAACTATAGCTACCAAGTTGTCAATGATAACGTAATCCACCAGCAAATGCGAAGAGCACACTTATATTTTCTGAGCTCCAAGAGAACTCTAAAGAGAGCTCTATAGGAATAAAGGGAAACACCTTATGTTGTTAGCAAATGACTAACCATTCGATTTGCCTCTCACAATTTATGCATTGACTTGTTAATAATATATGTGCCTCTGCTCTTTTCGTTTACTATGTCGAATACCCAAACAGTGGCCTTTTATTCCATGAAATGTTATCGTCCAGATGAACAGGACCTCAACGCATGTTGTACAATGGCAACACCAGATCATCATATTCGTCAACACATATGTGCTGTTTTTCCAAATACTACTAGGCTGTTCTGGAAATGTTTTGAACCTTATTGTGTTGATCTCAAGAAAGATGCGCTCCAGGACCAATTTGGTGAGTCTATATTTAGCTGAAGAGTTTAATAAAGAGTAGCCAGGGCAGGTAACAGTATATACATAGCTATCCCTCTTTGCCGAACTAGTTATGCCTCCAAACTTTAGCTTACTCTGAGGCTGTCCAAATTCATCATCGATCATCCCTCCTCTGAACCTGTCGATTTCAACTCATTGGGTGAACGCCCGGCACATAACTTAATGCGAAACAGCCCCCAAATCGCTTACGAGTCCCAGAGTTGAGGAGATATCTACCGCGATAGGTTACTCCGTGTAGGTGGAGTTCCAATCGCTTGGTAATCACTATGTCACTGTTGGTGGACAAAACACAGGGCCCTTACTGTTGTACTTACAAATTCAGGGTGTCAGAGGCCCATTCATACTGGTATATCACTTCGATCACCTTGACTAGGGAAAATATATGCTTCGGCGGAGCAAATTCGCTACCTGCTCGGTGTTGTTGACATCTATTGTTGAATATAAATCTCACAATCACGCATTTTCAGATTTTCGCTTTGATGGCATTTGCCGACTTGTTCTTTCTTCTAATGCATATTCCCCAGTTTTTATTCTTCTGTGTGAGTTATGGATTTATTCAGTTTTTTTTTGCTTTGTAGTAAAAGTGCTATTCTTTGTGCAATCACAGTTTATATCTTATACAGCTAGTCACGAATCCCCTTTATTATTCGTTAATGTAGGCTTCCAATGAAATGATAGCGTAGAGTGTTGAAAACAAGGTAAACATGTTGG